ATGAATTAGTAGAGGGGGTAGGTCAAGAGAAGCTTTCTTATTTGCATTTAATTGAATTAAAATACTTCACAGGGTAAAAATAAGGGCACATTTTTAGTATTCAGGGTTTATATCCTACTTTTCTCAACATATACATCGTTCTTTTATATTGTTGCAATCACTGTACATTCTATATTTTCATTGAAAATTTTGCCTTCCCACATGCTAATGTAGTCCATGTGCTAATGATGTTAATGGTGTCACAGTGTGCTGCCCTTTAAATGTATCTTAATTTGTGGAACGTTTTCCATATTCAACATTTATATTGGGGAGGCAGAATGAGAGAGATGACATCTTTTTAACTGGCTGCCTTCTCGTGGCATGGCAGTCTTACGCACTAAGTGTGTGTTCCCTGACATTTGTGTGTTGAAACCTTAACTACCCATGTGACTGTTTTTGAAGATTGAGGAGCCCTTACGGAGGTAATTAAGGTTAAATGAGGTCATAAGAGTGGGGTTCTAATTCTATAGCATCGGCATCCTGATAATAAGAAGGGACACCAGAGATCTCTCTCTCCAAGCACACGGAGTAATAGCCATGTGAGGACACAGCAAGACAGTGGCCGTTAATAAGCCAGGAAGAGCTGCCTCACCAGAAACCACTCCGCTGGCACCTTGTTTCTGGGTTTGTAGCCTCCAGAACTGTAAGAAATAAATATCTGTTGTTTAAGCAACAAATCTTTATATTGTTTTCCAAATTTCAATGTAAACAGTCAGGAATTGGTTGTTAAAAAAATCATCAGTCTAGCTATAGGATTAGAAATATGCAATGTGTTAATCTTTTTCTCTGATAAGGACATTATAGCATCAAAGTCCAACTTTTCTAGATATAAAACTTACTACTTTGGTAGAAAAAAGCTTTTTTAAAAAGATTAGACTTATTAGTGTGGAAGTCTCATCTCATTCCATTGCATTGTTTTCAGAATTGGGGCCCTTTGATGTTTTTAAATGATTTAAAAATCATTTAATTTTTAAAAAATTTTACTTTTGTTAATCCTCACATGAAGATATTTTTTCCATTGCTTTTCAGAGAGAGGGCAAGGAGGGTGGAGAGAGAGAAACATCAATGTGAGACACATGGACAGGTTGCCTCCCACACACGCCCCAAGTGGGGGCGGGGAGCAAACCAGCAACCAAGGTATGTGCCCTTGACTGGAATTGAACCCCAGACCCCTCAGTGCAAGGTTGGATGCTCTAACCACTGAGCACACCCACCAGTGCTAAATGTAATTTAATTTGAATATTTAACTTGAAGCTATAGCATCATTAGTCTCTTTCCATCCTTGTTAGCCAGTGTTCTTATGTTGACACTGCACTGCTTTAAAAATTCTGTAACTGTTCTCTCCAGCATGGTAGCCATTAGCCACATGTGACTTAAAAATTTAAATTCATTTCCGCAGTTGCATTACTCACAATTTAGCTGCTCAGTAGTCATATGTGGCCATTGGCTACTGTATTGAACAGTGCTGATATATAGAACACTTCTATCATCACAGAGTTCTTTTGGACAGAACTATTCTGGAGTCTTAAGATCTATTGATACAAATAATCACTTTCTTTTTTAAAGTTGAAAGCATTTAAGTTAGTAAAACTTATTTTGTTAATTGTGAGCACCACCTCATTTAAATAATCTACATACTTGGTTGTTGAAATTTACCTTTGATCATAACAATTCTTTTAAATATATCATGTCAGGATTTAGGATGAAGAAATAAAAGCAAACATCATTTCTTGCTCCATGCTCCCTTTTCACCACCTACTTCTATATTCTTGTGCTGGTGTAAAGGGCCTGAGGGGGAAGAGGTAGGAAGGGAAAGGGGGAAGAGGTAGGAAGTCCTAATGCAGTTTACTTTCTCTTAAATTGGATGTAGAATTAATGCTACCAGGTGAACTAAAGAACTTTTCTCTGTTCATTCTGCTCTTCCAATCTCACCATTGTGGGTAAATATTATTGTAGATAGAGAATATAAAAAATAATGTAAACTTTTTCCTTAGCTTTGTGTGGGAGGATTCTCATAACAGCAGCACACCAACAGATAAGCCCAGACTGCTCGCTCTTAGTGAAAATAATGAATTGCTCATCTATGAATTTAATTTGAAAGATGGAAGATGTGATGGAACCATTTTGTATAACTGTAGTGAGGAGACTTTGCAAAAGCTCATTGAAGATCAAAATGTCAGTAAGTATTTACAGGTGGGCTTTCAACATATTTAAATGTGTGACATTACTGTGTAATTTTGTGTATTTCAGGAAAGCTTCTTATATATGTGAGATCAGTGTGGGAGACCTGCCTGTCCAATACTACCCACTAGCCACTTGGGGTTCTTGAACACTTGTCCTTTTAGTGTTAAATACATACCAGATTTTGGAGACTTAGTACAAAAAAAGTAAAATATCTCATTAATAGGTTTTTGTATTATATGTTGAAATATTTTGGGATATAATGAGTTAAGTAATATATATTAAAATTAATTTCACCTTTTTTTTTTTCAATGCAGCTACTACTAAAAAGTTTAAAACTACATGTGGCTTGCATTTGTGGCTGACATTATATTTCTGTTGGATAGTGCTGATCTAAGACTGGTTACAGAGCTCTTTACTATGTCCCATTCTGAGAGCTGCAGGGAGCAGAAATCAAGGCACTTGGGCTTCTATTTTTAAGGCAGTAGCATATTTGCTACCTTTGATTTTAAGATTCCTTTTTTTCCCCAAAAATATGTCTTTATTGATTTTAGAGAAAGGAAGGGAGAGGGATAGGAAGATAGAAACATCGATGAGAGAGAAACATCCATCCAGCTGCCTCCTGCACACCCCCCATGGGGGATCGAGCCCACAAGCCAGGCATGTGCCCTTATCGGGAATCGAACCAGTGACCTCTTGGTTCATGGGTTGACGCTCAACCACTGAGCCACACGGGCCCAACCCTTCTTTTGCATTTTTTTAAAAAGTCTGTGATTGTTCTTGTGGGGTCTCATGGGTAGTAAGTAGGCTTTTTGAAACTTCTGGTGTGCTGTCAGAATGGCCATAACACAAGGAACAAGAGACATTACACCAGCGGTTCTCAATCTGTGGGTCGCAACCCCTTTGGGGGTCGAACAACCTTTTCACAGGGGTCGCCTAAATACATCCTGCATATCAGATATTTACATTACGATTCATAACAGTAGCAAAATTACAGTTATGAAGTAGCAACAAAAATAATTTTATGGTTGGGGTCACCACAACATGAG